CCTGTCCCGCGCGGCGCGATGCGATGCTCCCGCTGTGCTGCACCCGTGGAACAGAGGTCTGGCATGGCACAGCTGAGGGAAAAACCTGGGGGCCCCTTCAGTGTCTCTGCCCTGCGCTCCTTGTCCAAACTGTGGGTGTTTCCGTACCCAAGCTCCTTGCTTTGCCTGCCCTTGCCTGTGCCAGCTGTCTCTTGCCTTCAGGGGGAAGCTGTGCAAAAGCTGACTCCTCTAAACCCAGAAATATTCCCATCTGCTGCTTGAGTTAAGGTGTTAATAAACCCAGCAACTCACAAACTCTGAACCAAGAGTTTCAAATGCCGCTTTGTTTAATTAGTGGAGCCCTCACCCACAAACACAGGCAGTGTTGCCCACCCTGCCGCTGGGGGTGGGAGGTGAGTGTGCGGTGCCCAGGAATTCCTCCTCATCAGAAGTGCAGCCTCTCATGCCAACTATTTTCTTGCTTCCTGTCTGCTTCAGCTGCCCAGAAACAAAACATTGATGGCTGAAGGACTTAAGCAAACTTGCAGCATCTCCTGGGGGGATGCAGCCAGCAGGCTAAGCCCCTTGCATGCTTTCCGTCCTCTGTACCCAGGGCTCTCTTTTCCCAAGGGCAGCAATAAGTAACTCAGCTGGCCTGGCCCTGAGGGAGCTCTTTGTCCCTTGGCCATGGAAATGGGGTGACTGGTCTTTGCTTTGAAATCCAGTCTGGTCCCCTCCAGCAAGCATCACCCTGGGGGTGTGTCCCCAGGTGGTCCCTTGCTCCTTGAGAAGGGGAGAAAGCGTTACTTGCTGTTATCAGAAGAATGTAAACTCCTCAGCAAACATGATTTCACTGGTGCAAGGGTAATGGTTGACGTCTGAGTGTGGAATGTGGTCACTTCCTCTTAGGGTTCTATTCTAAATTGGTTTATGAGGGGCCAGTAGGTAGACCAAAGCCTCCTGCTCCTTAGGGGACAGGCAGCCAGGGCAAGGGGGTCCCTTGGTTGGTTGTGTGCTGTGGCATGGCAGTGCAGGAGTTATCTTGCCTTTGGTGGTGGGACTTCAGAGGTGGCACTGTGGTTAAAATGTACTTGCTCCTTGGTGGGCTCTGGGGCTGGGCTGCCTGTGCCTCCTCTCCTCCTCCTGTGCCTGGCATGTGCTCACCATCCCCTGGTCCCACGGGCAGCTTATGAGGATGTCATGCTGCTGCTGCTGTGCAGGGCTGCAACCATACAGCATGTCCCACTGCTGCCAAAGGGTCGTGTGGCCCCTGCCTGCCCATCCCGTGTGGCTTACTGATGTCTTGCTGGTGGTGTTTTCCCTCCTAGAACAGGCCCTGCAAGGACACCTGGCCTCAGGACCTGCCTGCGAGACCCCTCTGCAACTGTGTGTGGGTGCTTAGCCTCTGCTGTGGCCAGCGGCTGCCTCAGGCGCTCGGGACTGAGTTGCCTCCTGGTGCTGGTGCTCACAGCCTCCTGGGACGGTGCTGCAGTGATGCCAGGGCTTTCTCCACCACCCGGGGCCCTTGACATGCCACATGCACCGGGGGGACAGCGAATGCCCCTATGGGCACCCCAGTCCCAGTGATACCTGCACCCTAAGAAACACACAGGGCTGGGGAAGGGCGCTGCTGTTAGCCCCCAGGGAGCTGCACGTGTCCCCACTGGTGCCCTCGCAGTGGTGGCATATGGCAACTTCCCAGCATGGTGCTCAGGGACAAAGCATGCATGGGAGTGACACGCACCCCTGACAGCACTCCTGCTTGTCTGGGCTTCTGGGTGGCAAAGCCATGGGTTCTGTTGGGGGGCGACAGGCCAGAGCAAGGGCTGAGGGCACCCTCCACACTTATGGACCCGCCAAATGGGCAAGCGTGGCCCCCACCACAGCCCTCCCTGTTTGGGAGCTGCCAGGGCCCCTCAGTGCCAGAGAAAAGCTCAGCACAACCTGGCTAGAAACACAGATTTATTGCGACATCGATTTGCAATCAGCACTCAACCCCCACAGCAGTGACTCTGGACCCACGCAGACGCCCTGACCCTGCTGTGATGCCTCCACAGCCAGCAGACTGGTCACTGGGGCCACAAGCCCACCGACTCCCATCCAGGCAGGCTCAATGGGGCTGTGTGCTGGGGTCCTGCTGTGCCAGGGGCTGCCTGCAGGCTGGCAGCATGGAGGGGGGAACAGAAGCTGGATTTGGGTCCTTTGCTGATGTGGGGCTGTGATCTCCGAGCAGTCACAAGGCTCTCAGGATTCCTGAGGAGAGAGTGGGGTCAAATCCCCCAAGCATGTGAGAGAGAGGGCTGAGCGTGGGAGATACCGCCATGTCCTCTCCTCCTACCGCACTCCCTCGGTGCCAGCTCAGATGCCCTGGGGAGCTGGCAGAGATGCCAGGCAAGTTCCCACCTGTAGCTGCTACACATATCCCGTCAGGTTGTAGGAGTTGAGCTCACTCTTGGCCTTCTGTGTCTGGCTGACGGAGGGCCTGGTGCTTTTGCTCGCCAGCAACTGGGGCTGGTAGGCGCTTGAGTAGGTGGCTGTTGGGTCCCGGGCAGGGCAGGAAGTGCAGAGGATGAAGCCGCCAACGAGGGACAGGAGGGAGGAGATGATGCCCAGGTAAAGCGCCTCCCCAAGCTCAAACTTTATGCTGTCGGGGAGGACAGGGTTGTGGAAGTCCCGCAGCACCACGTGGATGTTCCACACCATTGGGATGAAGCAGAGCAGCCCCCCGAGGATGAAGACCGTGCCGCCCACCACTGCCACCCGGTCCTTGGTCGGTGAGCCCTGGCTGAAGACCGTGCACCTCATGCCCACGATGGTGAGGAGACAGGCGAGGGAGGAGACGGTGCAGGAGCTCACCATCAGGGCTTGGGCTGCCTGGACATCGGCGGGCAGGTTAAGCAGGGAGCTGTAGATGTCACACTGCGTGATGCCCGTGCTGTAAGTGGCGCACTCCATCCACTTTTTTGCTGGAGCCGATGTAGGAGCTGGTCTTCCAGCTGGGCAGCAGCGTGGCCGTCAGGGTGCCGAGGTAGCCCAGGAAGGCCACGGCATAGCCCAGCAGCTGGAGCCCCATGGAGACCATGGTGGGGGACGGATGTCACCTCCCCAGGGCTGGCAGCTCCTCGCTCGGCTCGCTGGCAGCTCGGTCCCACGCACTCGCCCTCCCG